GACACAATGCCCCACGCAAAATAGACAAAAATGATCACAAGTCGATAGAGACCACTTCCATACTCGTCAAAAGCCTAAATCAAAAAACCAGAGCCTATGCCAAATCACCACAATGGTGAACTTTATTTTCCAACTCAATGCTTTGAGTTAAGACCATTTCCTTGTGAGTTTTGATCTTTTCATCCACTCACCTCTCTCTCTATTGCTTCTGCATCGAAAAACGGCAACCCTTGCGCGGTAATAATGCAAAAAGTCAGAAAAATGCCTATAAAAGTCGAACAAGCAATGAAAACGGGTGAATTTTGAATTTTTCGGCCATCATTCCTCAATAAAAACAAGCGATTATGAAACGTCACAGCGAGCAAGTAGATAATAAAGATTTCTCCAATAACGTAGTTGAGCTGAATGCAAAGTGTTAAGTACTGTTGGTAAAAGTTGTTACGAATATATTTTTCGCTATCCATGGTCGAATGGTGATTGCGTTGAAGATCGGCGACACACAGTAGATGGCGGGATATGGAAGTAAAAACACCGGATTCGTGATGCCCAGAAAGAGATCACAAAGAAAAAAGGTGCACTGAAAGCTAGAATTAGAGCTAGTTTTTTAAAACGGTTTCTTTTGTTTTTGAACTTGTGAGACAGCGTGTGCACTTTCTCTTTCTTTCTTCTTCTGCCTTCTTTGTCTTTGGGATCAGCCTGTGGATAGAGGTCGCCTGTAGCCAAGCAGAAGGTCGAGAATTCGATTACCTTTAGCTCCTTTTTCTTTTCCAAATTATTTTTTTAAATGTAAAAAGAAAAGCGAGAAAGGTGAGGTGAGGGGAAGAGAGGAAAAGAAGAACAAGCAACAAGCAAGCAGCCAAGCAAAAGGGGAAAGGAAATAGGAAGAAAGAGATCTCCTCAATGCATAAAATTTCAGTTCCCAATTAAACTATTCAGTGCTTTTTATTAAGATTAAAGATTAATGGTTTTCAAATAGAAAATTTTGATTCACTCACCACGATCGCCATTTGGAAGATAGTGTGCGTTTTGTCGGCTCGTTTCCGATCCAAATACAAAAGATACAAAACCACTGGGCATAGGATAACTGAGAGAACACTTGCGACATCGTAAATTCCTGATATCACGAGTTTTTGCGTGAAATCCGAGGCAAAAAACATTGAATGATATTAGAAATGAATCAATTTTGTTCTTTCAAAATGGTTTGGAAGTGAGAGAGAACAGGTGAAAAGAAATACCTTTTGAAATTTAAAGGTCTTTTCTTCACGCTTAGACTATATACTGATTGCAGGGAACCAGAAATAAAGTTGCGGTCTAATTTAGCCTATTTTTTAAAGATCCAAAAAGATTTTGTAACAGAAACAATTTTTTATTAACAACATGATATAAAGAGAGCATAAAATCTACTTTTCTTCAAAGTGGCCACCTTTGGCTCCGATGCAGAGCCTCAAACACTTGATGAAGTTTTCGGCCATGGGCCGCAGCTCGGCCGGAGTGATTCGATCCCATTCCCTGGTCAACGATCGCTTAAGAGCCTCCAAACTTTTGTGGGGTTTTGCACAAAGCCTTGCCTCCAAAATTGACCAAACACTATAGTCCAACGGATTGAGATCGATAAGAAATCTCAGGCTTTATCGTTTTATTTTCAAAATCAAAAAAGATATTGATAAAAAATTACTGAAATCTCTGAATACAGGGTGCGGCATAAGTATGGTTACAAGGTTGTAACATTGATTTAAGAAACTACTTGATTTTTATTGGGTTGGTGAATTAAAAACTGCCGGCTATTGTCATATGTGACAGTTTGAGCACTTTCTTCAAAAGAAACCCATTTTAGTGTCAATGGAAAAGTTGTAGAGAATCAAAAATCAAGCTTATATCCAAATTTTCAGAACGATTCAAAGGCTGGTTTTCAAGAAATCCAAATTTACGCATTTTCACAAAACTTGCATTTTAAGCGAAACTACTAAGTGTATCTTTTTGGAAATTTGGTTATAAGCCTAATTTTTGATTCTCTACAACTTTTCTATTGGCACCAAAATGGGTTTCTTTTGAAGAAAGTGCTCAAACTGGAACATCGGACATCTCCAGTCCTCCATTTTTGAGTGTCACACTTGTCTCACACACAAACCAAAATCCTACTACGAAAGAGGAAGCCGCAAATTGCCTGTAAAATGGGCAGAAGTCGTCAATAATAATGGAAATTATTTGGAATGAATTTATGGTTTTATGTTGAATAAATTTTAGTTCAAAGTCCGGCAGTTTTCAATTCACCAACCCAATAGATGTTCTTTCAGTAAACTTACTGTAACAAGATTGTAACAAGATCTCGCTGTAGCTAGGACATACAACAAGAGTTTCGATTGCAATATTTATCAACAAAATCAAGGAATGAATTATAAAGAACCCGAGGAAATTTTGGAGAATCAATGGAAAAAGTTGATGAATTTTAATCATAATATGACAAATCCCTATTACAATAATTACAATAATTCAAGTAACACCAAGCCTTTTGAATCAAATTCTTTGGATTATGAAAAGCATTGTGGTGAATCGAAAGCTCAAGTCTCAAAAGTTTACTGTTAACAAATCTACAAAGTTTCAACTCAAACAATAGCTTGTTACAATCATCGATTTGCCGGTAAAAGCTTGCGAACTTGATAATCTTCTTTTTATTTGTTGAACGGCTCATTTTTTTCAATAAATTTGTTTGTTCAATGAGTTCTGATTGAAGAATCTTTCTAATAAATCGAAATTCTTCGATCGAATCTCTTGGTACATTCTTAAGGTAAGCAGTGCTGAATTTGTAATGAAATTTTGGATTTTCACTTGGCATTCCGTTTTTAAGAAGAAATTTCAACGATTCACTAAAATCTTCCTTTGAGCGACACTTCTTTTGAAAGTGTTTGGAGTTGAATTTCTTTAAAATCGGATAAAGAATTGATAAAGGCACATAGAAACTGAGCTTTCCTTGAGTTAAAAGCCTTTTTTCAATATAGTTTTTCAAATATCTAACATCAAAGCCGTGTGCATCGTCTTTGTAGAAAGAGAACGAGAAATCGTCGGTGATTTGAGGTCGCAAAGTTTTAGTCAAAGATTGAAACTTGTTGAAGCAATCGGTATAAATATTAAGAGAAGCCAGGGTTGAGATTTTAGGCATAAAATCGAAAAATTCATGAGAATAGTCATCTTTTTGCCTAAAGTCATACAATTGAATCCAGAGTTGCTTGACGCTTGAAATGTTTCCGAAAAGTGACGACAATCGATAGATTTGAGAAGATTCAGACGGTAAAATTGAGAGAATGTCCTCAAATTTCAGTGTTTTTCCCTTGGTGATGAGCTCAATTTGCAAGCTGTGACAGAAAAGTCGATCATTATGAACTGAGGAAGTTGTAGAGTAAAAACTAAGCTCAAGAAGGGTTTTGTTGAAAGGTCCACGTTTTAAGAAATAAGCCCGAACATCGTAATTGGTTTTCAAAAGATTGAAAACTTCATCTAAATCAAGATGATCGAGAATGGATTCTTTTAAAGAAAACGGTAAGCTTTGAAGGGAAAACATTGAAGATTTGTATGGAATTCAAATAAAAGTCAATGTTGTTTATGATTTGCAGTGATTAACTTGATGCCTAGATGATTAGATGCCAAATTGGAGTAAATTAGTGTTTCTTGTTTATCACCTATTGCCACTGGCATTTCTCTGTGGTGACAGAGTTCAGAGAAGACAAGCGATATCTTGAAGATTGAAACGAGCCTTGATTCTTGCAGATATTTTTGTTTCCTCTTTCCAAGTTAGCTACTGTAATAGTAGTACTGTATTTAGCTACTGTAATGTAAAATTTAGCTACTACGGTTACCGTATTTTCTCTAATAGTAGTGCACCCCGCCGCGCCGAGTTGATGACGATTTTACGGTTTCAAAGTTTTCCCAGAAGCTCAACACTCAAATCCCCCACTAGATCTCATCGTCAGCTACATTTTCCGACCCCACATCGATAGGTTCTGATAAGCGGTTCTCGAGATTTCGAGGAATTTAGGCGACGCTCAGGGTGCACTACTATTAGAGAGGATATGGTAACTCTTTATGATTATTTTCGATGTAACTGAGCTACAGTCACTCGTGAGCCAGCTAATAAAGAAAGCTAGATCTCTATGCTTTGATCTCTAAGTCAATCAAGCTAAAAACCAAACAAAACAGATATTCAAAGCAAAGTCTAGTCAAAAAGCCAGTGGCCCTTCGAAAAAACTTTGGCAAAAAGGTAGAAAAAACTTCAGCAAATGGCAAGCAATTGATTCTCTTTTGTTTGACGGACTTTAGAGTTGAGGTTTAAAATTTATTTACAAAGCTGATGCTTGTTTTCTAGATTTTCTAGATGCTTGAGATTCCCGCTTTTCACTTCATCCCCAAAGAATGGCTTTGACCTATCCTGGCCTTGGCTGGCTTGGCTAACGTGGGAAAGAATTCGGCATCGCTCTTCCTCAATGATGATATTTAACCAATCTCGAATTGGTGGATTCGTTCTTATGAAATTTCAGACAAACTTTTTCCACGAACTTTCTTTCCAATCTAATATAATCGACGTAAGGCTATTACAAAATTGTTTTCAGTTCTTTGAAAACTTTGAAATTGATTCTCAACCATTTATCAAGCTTGAACTTTAGATCAAAACATTAACCATTGCTTCCATTGATTGTGAATATGCTTCGATTGCTTTACTCCAAATTACTCAAAAAAAAAAGTTTATTATCATCAAATCGTCAAAAACTTTTTCATAAGAAAAATTTTGAAGCGAAAATCAAAAGAAAAAAAAGAGCAGTGAGATCACAATTTTTGGCACTCCGGGGGACAGGAAAGCACCCTATAAAATGAGAAAAATGAACAGCAAATGGCAATCGGAGATCAATAAAAATTTGGCTAATCTTTCAAAATATAAGACCCGTAAATAAATAGTTGACCAGATCAAAATATGCAAATCTATCTCTATGCAAATTCATTTAAAAGTCTTATTTCTTATTACCACCGCAGAGAAGAATATTGCGGAAAGCGTTTCGGAAACGTTGATCGAAAACCGTGTAGATGAGAGGGTTCAGTGAGGAGTTGACACTGAAAAATTAAAAGTTGATATTATTGTGTTAGTGATCAAAAATTGTTGATGTTGATGTCGATACGATCATCAAAAATATTGGGTTGGTGAATTAAAAACTGCTGGCTATTGTCATATGTGACAGTTTGAGCACTTTCTTCAAAAGAAACCCATTTTGGTGTCAATGGAAAAGTTGTAGAGAATCAAAAATTAAGCCTATATTCAAGTTTTCAGAACGATTCAAAAACTGGTTTTCAAGAAATGCCAAATTTACGAATTTTCACAAAACTTGCATTTTAAGCGAAACTACTAAGTGTATCTTTTTGGAAATTTGGCTATAAGCCTAATTTTTGATTTTCTACAACTTTTCTATTGACACCAAAATGGGTTTCTTTTGAAGAAAGTGCTCAAACTGGGCTGACATCTCCAGTCCTCCATTTTTGAGTCTCACACTTCTCTCACACACAAACCAAAACCCTACTACGAAAGAGGAATCCGCAAATTGCCTGTAAAATGGGCAGAAGTCGTCAATAATAATGGAAATTATTTGGAATGAATTGATGGTTTTATGTTGAAGAAATTTTAGTTCAAAGTCCCGCAGTTTTCAATTCACCAACCCAATAGATTGATAATTTTAAAGTTTTATTTGAGATATTTCCTCAGCTTCATTTTACAATTCGACTTTAAAACTCACTATCCAAGCCAAGTGGTGAAAAACATGGCCATATTCGGAATGCAGCCCTCTCCTTTTGACGAGTTGATCGCACACAGGGAATTCACTAAGTGCAACGTGAAAAACGGAAGCCAACAGAAAAGGAAAACAGCTGAAATTGGGTAATTGAATCAGCAATTTGAACATTTCCTTACCAAGCACAACAGCTAGAGTCACTGTCGCTTTTTGCTCTCTCTTCATCTGTTTGGTGGCCTTTTTGACGAGGTGACGGGAGGGGCGAGCTTTCCAACCAGCTGTCACTCTAGAATTTGAGTATTAAAAAGTATTAGATCAAAATTCCCACACCTATACATTTGATTTTTATTACCATAACCCCTTCTTCAGTAAGTAAGTAACTTCAGTAAGTAAGTAAGTAACTCTGGATTTGACTAGGAATTCAATTAACTTGCAGGTAGAAAAGCTTCTACTTGCAAGTGATGATAGGATTTTACAATGAAACAAATTACGGGGCTAAATCTTAAATCTTTACCTCTTCCATAGCTCATTCTTGTAGCTTCGCATATTCTCCCCAAAAGTCATCTCGGTCGAGGCTCTCTTTGTCGTGATGGCGCACTCGGACAATGAGTTCCCACTCGTTCCATTGCTCAGATTGAGTCTCTCCATCGGGATATGGATCTAAAATTTTGATATTTTGAAAGAAAATCGATTTCCACCTTTGGATGTAAATGATTTTTGTGGATTCCATTTGCATCAATGGCATCTTGGGTTGTTGAAGTGGCTGTGTTCACCGTAGGAACTTTAGTAATGTCACCATTTTTGGTGAAAGTCGGCGTTCGATGTTCTCTCATCGATCCACCGTTGGCTCGAGAAATACCCGTACTTGTCTGAAATGGGAATCTCAGAATTGAGGCTGAAGTTTATAGTGAGGGAATTCTTTTAAACGCGTTATTGTTAACGCAGACTAATCATAAGCTAATCACAATCAGCTAAAACGTATTAAGTCAGGCTGGTCATCAACTAATCACAATCAGCCAAAACGTGTTAAGTCAGGCTGATCATCAGCCTGATCTTCATCAGGCTAATCATAAACTTCAAGCTAAAAAAATCCATCCCATCGACATGGAAATTTCTTCTCTTAAAACCAATTCATCTTCACTAGCTCTTTCTTTTGTTTATTGGCAGATTATTATAGAGTTTTGACTACAAAATGATAGCCTTGATTTCACAAAAGTTTAGAACGATTTTCGAGAAACTATCGATAAAATAAAGATGGAATTAAGTTCGATTTAGAATTTTCCCATAGCGATTCGGGGCTAATTAACAAAACAAAATCAGTTATTGATAGGTTCATTGAATAGCCAGAATTTCTAAAGCTAATCATAGCCTTTACAAGGTAATCATAGCCTTTACAAGCTAATCATAGCCTTTACAAGGTAATCACCTTTCAGCTAATCATGCCTTTACAAGCATCGTTTACAAGGTAATCATAGCCACTTTTCCAACCAAAACCAAAGAACTCACATCCCGTCTCGATCTCCTTATCCTCTTCTTGTTCACTTGCAATGCCTCATCGTGACTTGACGAGGTTTTCCTGCTGTGATTCCCGCTATCTATGAATGGGAAAAGTTCACCGATTTCTTCACCAAATGATCTAAAATTTTGCTTGATAAACTTGAATTTCTGCTTAAAACTACCTTAATGTTAAAGCGGCACTCGATTCATACCGAGTGTGCATTTCTTGAAGACTTTCCTGAAGTCGTTGCAGCTCTTCTTTAGTTGGTGACTGCTTGAAAGTCAGAGATGGAGAATCTAAAAGATTAGATATAAGATTTTCAATGAATTTATAAAATACTCACTTTTTATAGAAGATTTCAGCTCAGGAGCCGATAATTTCCTCAAACCGATTGTTGTGTCCGTGCAGCGAATGAGACTCGTTTTTTCTTCAACTGGCAACTAAATTTTAAATTTAGAATCATTGCAAGAACAATTCTCAATATTATTTCTATTTTTCTTTTTAAAAAACGTTTCTTTTAGCACTTTTTTTGTGAAACAAGCCGAGTTTGCTGAAAAGATTCACAAAAATCGTTCTTTTCTTTCTTTTGTTATTGGATTGGTGAATTGAAAACTGCCAGCTATTGTCATCTGTCACAGTTTGAGCACTTTCTTCAAAAGAAACCCATTTTGGTGTCAATGGAAAAGTTGTGGAGAATCAAAAATTAAGCTTATATCCAAATTTTCAGAACGTTTCAAAAACTGGTTTTCAAGAAATGCCAAATTTACGAATTTTCACAAAACTTGCAACAAAACTTGGATTTTAAGCAAAACTACTAAGTGTATCTTTTTGGAAATTTGGGTATAAGCCTAATTTTTGTTCTCTACAACTTTTCTATTGACCCAAAATGGGTTTCTTTTGAAGAAAGTACTCAAACTGGGCCATCGGACATCTCGAGTCCTCCATTTTTCCATTTTTATACGAGTGCCGGCTTATATAAGAAAGCAAAACTACTAAGTGTATCTTTTTGGAAATTTGGGTATAAGCCTAATTTTTGATTCTCTACAGCTTTGGTATTGACACCAAAATGGGTTTCTTTTGAAGAAAGTACTCAAACTGGGCCATCTCCAGTCCCCCATTTTTGAGTCTCACACTTGTCTCACACACAAACCAAAATCCTACTACGAAAGAGGAATCCTCAAATTGTCTGTAAAATGGACAGAAGTCGTCAATAATAATGGAAACTATTTGGAAGGAATTGATGGTTTTATTTTGAAGAAATTTTAGTTCAAAGTCCGGCAGTTTTCAATTCACCAACCCAATTCACCAATAGAGCAAGCAATTTTTAAAGAATATTGACAAATTGATTGTTTTTGATGACACTTTTGTTTAGTTTATCTTTTTTTTTGCTTACTTTTATTGACACATGAGATTCAGGAGTGGGTAAAGGCACCTCCAAGTCTTCGGGACTCGATGGACTCGTCATCGACCCTTCGTCACTTGAATCGGAATTCGTTGGATATGAAGAAGTCTAAAAGATTATTTTTCCTTTACTTTTTCGAAATCTCCGCATTTGTTTGTTTTCTGTAACAATTTTTGGGCATTTCCTTATTCCCGGTCGATTTGAATTGAATTCCCAATTCTGGACTCAGCCACGACTTTGACTTTGATTCAATTCGTGGATTTATTTCTGGAAAACTTTCCGACTACGTCAGAAATGTCAGAAATTAAATATTTACCTGAAAACTGATCTCTAGCAAAATTTGATCAGCTTTCTGCTTGAAGTGGGTGCCCATTTGGCGAGCGAAACGAGCCGATTGACTCAAAAGAGCGTTCGAAATGTGATCTGAGTCGGCCTGGAAATGAACATTTAGAAATATAATAAACTTAGAATCTAATAAGCAATGGTTTTTAATTGAAACAGTAATTTATGGCTAAAACTGTTAGCTAAGTTCTGCTAAAATGGATTCAAAATTGGATTTAAATTGTTCCAGGAGTCAATTGACTAATTATCTTAGTTTAGAATCAAGTAAAATAAAGAAATTAAAGAGAAATTAAAGCCTAATCTAAACCAGAAAGTAATTCTAATGCTAGATTTGAATTTGAAACAGAATCAGAATCAGAAACACGATCAGAAACTTCTAAATCCACCTTTGAAGCTTGTCTTAACGTCCTCGCGCGCTCTCTTTGCCTCAGCCGTCGGAAGATGATTGTATAGAGAACTGAATTGAAGATTTTAATAAAATAATCAATGATTTGAAATCATTTCTCATCAATCTAACCAACCAATCATTGCTAGACATGGGATGAAAAAGGAGAACACTGATGAGATCATATTGAAGTACGGATTGCCAAGCTCGCAAGCCTGAAAAGTGATTTTGATAAGCGTTTGATAAGAAGAAATCTACAAAGTCTGCAGGATCTATACAGGGTGACCAAGAATCACCGCAACACACAAAAGGCCTGGCTTTTAACCAAATATGCAACCCATCTCGAAAAGTTTCGAAAAGTTAACTTCAATATCTTTATTCAACATATAACAGTAACAAATTAACAATTAAATTCAGATTTTTGATTAAATTGTTGACGAAGCTTCTCTTCAGACTGATTTTCTGTGCCATTCCTCGAGCCGATTGGTTAGGGTTTAATCTTAGACGATCGCGCACTTTCTTGACATCAGCCGGAGTAACCGCTGTTCGTTTTGCACCTCTTTCAGGACGATCAGATCCCTGGATCGATCAGAAACTGTGCCCAGAGTTTCATAACGTTTCATAACGTGAGTTGAACGTTGAACGAGGCTTCTAGGGACATTCAGGTGCTTTGAGATCTCGCTCGCCTGAGCAGCCGCCTGAACACGCTGCCGCTTGAGCTAAAGGATCGATTGTCGATGTGGAGACGCTTTCACCATTCCTGACAACACCATTCCATTCAACAACCATACTAATCAGTAATCAGTAAATAAGAAAGTTAGTAATCATACCATAGAATAAGAAAAATACACAAAAACCATAAAAACAGGTAAGCAAAAAGTGAAATGGGGCTTATAAAATAATACGACGTTGTTGCGGTAATTCTTGGTCATCTAGGTCATCTTTAGAAGTATTTAAAAGTTAAAAAACAAGACTTTCACTAGTCTTGTCTTGGGATTTATCAAAGCAATCAGTTTTCTTTTCAATATCTTTAAAGTCTTTAAAGTCTAACAAGGTTTTGTTCTTAAATTTTAATAGATTCTATTACTTTCATGCAATTTTAGCATTCAATTTTATTTCTTTATCAATTTTATCTCATTGTTTTATTGTTTATTGTTTCTTACTACTTTCTACTACCCAAGAAATCAGGAATTCTCCTTTGTTCTCTATATTCAGCAAATTTCCATCAAACTTCAAACTTCTCTATTCCCATTTCCATTGAAATTTGTTGAAGATCCCTATTCTCTTTTTTTTTCAAATATCCTCGTGCTTCCGGGATAGAATAGACAAGAAGACCTTTTGTGGATTGTGATAGAAAAAGGGGCAGTCTAATTGAATCGCACCGAGGATAGGGCCACAAAACCCCCATTGGGCCCTACCATCCCACGGCTCACATTGAGAGAATTTTAGAGTTGAAAAGAAATCCCAAAGAATCTCAGACACAAGCTTTGTTTCTTTGCTTTGTTTCTCTGAAGTTCAGGTCAAATTCGTGAGTAGATGGGGGTTTTTGGAGTGCTTTGAGAGTGATGTCACTCTTGAAAATGCCAAAAAAACAAGCTTGTTGCAATTCAATGACAAATTTGGGTAATTGAACCCTTGACTGGGTAAATGAATCAAAAATAGATTGAATAATTGGACCGTGGAAGCTTGATGGATTTCTAGGACTCATGGTTTGTTTTGAAACTGAATGGTAACATGGTAACTGAATGATAACTCTATAACCAGCAGATTCGGTTAGTTTTTTTCTTTTTTTGATCTTTAGCTAGTTGAGTAATTGAAATTGAACTTGAAAATGTGATTTTTAAAGTATTAGATTGGTTCTAGAACTCCACTCTAGAACTGTAGACGTTCTTTGAATTGAATCAGGATCCAGAGAGCAAACTGAATGTGTTTTTTTAAGTGACAAGACAAAGTACATCTCAAAAGACACTAAATTTCAGTTTAAATCCTTAAAAAGCAGTTATTTGCATAATTTTATGACCAAATTCCTTCTACAGCTGAACTTAGAACAGAGATTTAAATAAGCAATTGTTCAAAGAAGGTCCACAGTTCTAGAATGGAGTTCTAGAATCAATTTTTAACGTTTTTAGAGCTTTTCTCAGAGCTGAACCGTGGTTCTGAGAGTTCAATGGCAAGCTTTCACTCAATTTTTCCTTTTTCCCCATAACATTTGAATGAATCGACGGGGTTTTGCATGTCATTCTACGCTTGGATTGCATTTTTTGTGAATTTAGTGATGTGTTTTTAAATAAGAAATCGCAGGGTTAACAAATAACAGCTGATCCAATTGATAAACACTCCAAGGTTTTTGCTTAATTAGCCTTCAGCCAAAGTCCTGCCTTGATTTCAAGTTTTGAACTTCACAAACGTCAGCGTTAGACACATTTTAGGTCGATTTTTGTTCAATTCCCCACTTAGCTGAGTCAGCTTTAGTGATTTCAAGAATTCCCCTAGAAATCCAGCCTCTGTTCATCGAGTTCATCGAGTTCTGAACTTTGGTGGCTCTAAACTGAGCTGGGTAATTGAACCAAGCCTTGCCAAGCCAAACAAGCGGAAAGTTTCGTTCATTTACAGCTAGATTCTTTCTAAGCATTTCAAGTTGATCCCCAGCTATTCTAAAACATTCCCCAATTATCCATTTTACCAATTTTCTCAATCACTTTTTCGATGACTCACTTTTTATTGCTGTAGCTAAGCGATTCCAAGCTATAATCATAACGAAATCTTGAAATTCTTCAATAAGATATGACCTCATCGGCTGATTTCTTTACGAAAGAGGGTTTTAGGTTTGAAATAGAACAAGAGACAAAGAAAACACAGAGAAAGGCAGAGAAATGGGCAGAATGACGACAATATTTCCAATTTAGCCTGGTTATTTATGGGAAAAGCTTGAGTAAATTGAGAGAACAGCTGAAATATTGGGGAGAATTTTGTGCGTATTCAATGAAATTGGTTTTTTTGAAATAAAGCCGTTTGCTCTCTAGTTTTGTAGTGATCAACTTTGCGTGATCGAAATTGACGCTTTCTAGAAAAATTGGGTAATTGATTCAAAAACTCAGCTGTAGATCTTGTGGGCCAGTTCAGATCCGTTCAGATCCGTTCAGTGAGCCCTTGGGCGATTCAAATTGGGTAATTCAGCTAAAATCCTGAGAATGAGACCAAGATCGTGTGCTTCTGAAGTTCTGAAGTCTGACTTTGAGAGACTTTGGGAGCCTTTGGGAGACTTTGGGAGACTTTGGGGGGCTTTTTTGAGAGACTTTGTGAGACTTTGGGAGAATTTGGTAGACTTTGGGAGGCTTTGGGAGAATTTGGAAGACTTTGGAAGACTTTGGCAGACTTTGAGAGACTTTGGCAGACTTTGGCAGACTTTGGGAGACTTTGGGGGGCTCTGAGAGACTTTGAGGGGCTTTGAGAGACTTTGTGAGATTTTGGGAGAATTTGGTAGACTTTGGGAGGCTTTGGGAGACTTTGGTAGACTTTGGGAGGCTTTGGGAGAATTTGGAAGACTTTGGAAGACTTTGGCAGACTTTGAGAGCCTTTGGAAAACTTTGGGAGACCTTGGAAGACTTTGGGAGACTTTGGAAGACTTTGGGAGACTTGAGAGATATGTGTGCAAACTGTGTTTGAGAAAAGTAAGAGAAAGAGCTTGAAGATTAAAGACGAGATTAAAGACAATAAATGTACAATAAAACTTCTTCAATCTCTTCATTCATCCATTTTTATCGATTCCCACGCTTTACATCAAAATTTCTCATTCCTTTCCTAGAACAATAGCCTCCTTTATTAGCCGTTTTCTCTCAAATTCTTCGAAAGATATCTTTCAAAACACTTTTTCATCGTAGTGTGTTTTAGGGGAGCTATTTTATAGGATTAGTAGAGATTTCCGGAGAGAATCTCCTCAAGCTTTCTTTTCTTATCCCTTCTTTCGGTCTTTTTCTTCAATTCAGTCTATGAAGGCACACTTCCTCGTTTCGATTTGATTAGCGAAAAGGGAATCTCGAAATCTCGAATCTTTAGGAATTCACGCTTTTGATAACAAGCGGATTTAGATTGGAATAACAATTATTGATGTTGAACGATTGTTGAACTTATTGTCGGCTTCGATAAACTCTAGGGGTTATAAACTAATATTGAGTTAGGTAATTGAGCCAAAATTGAGCCAAAATTGAGCCAATCTCATGCCCAATCTCATGCCAAGACTTCAGATCATGAAATCAAGCTAGATCTAGACTTTAGATCATGAAACTTTGGACTTGGGTAATTGAACAAGATCGTTATACATTCCTAACGCTGTTTAATGATCTTTCCCAACGAAATTCTTTTCTTTAACCTTGTAAAACTGGGTGTGTGACTCGGGTCACGTAAAAATGCATGAGCGATTGTCAAGTGAATGTCTCCAGGCTGGTCTTTTGAGCTTTTTTTTGAGTGAATTCCTTTAGTCTACCCAGTAGTTTCAAGAAACACATATTCACTGACGAATCTTTTGCAAGTTTAGTCTTAAAAGAACTATCGCTTTATCAACTCTGCACTAGACCAGAGTTGACAAGAATTAGTTAGCCAAAGAGTTGAAAAGAAAGCCTAAAAGAAAGTTTAAAAGCTCAATGAGATATCGAAGCTCAATGAGATATCGAAGCTCAATGAGATATCGAAGCTCAATGAGATATCGAAGCTCAATGAGATATCGAAGCTCAATGAGATATCGAAGCTCAATGAGATATCGAAGCTCAATGAGATATCGAAGCTCAATGAGATATCGAAGCTCAATGAGATATCGAAGCTCAATGAGATATCGAAGAGGGGTACAAAAGCTCAATGAGATATCGAAATTTTAAATCTATTAATCTTGAAACAATTTCAATCTTTGGATTCAAGTTTATGACAAAAACAAGTTCAGTTTTAAGAATCAAACTTAAATCAATCAAAAATTTAAGGATTTAAGTACTTGATTTAAGGATTTAAGTACTTTATAACATTTATAGTTTATAGTTTATAACATTTGAGTACTATATAGCATATAACTATACTTATATACTATACTATATAACTATTTTCCTTTTTTTTTGCTCAACTTTTTGTGTTCAAATTCCTTTCAAAATTGAGGTTAAGTGTCCTGGCTTATAAAAAATGGCCACTTTTTTTCAGCAAAACCTCTCCAGAGACCATAAAGAAAGAGTTGGGAAGTGAACAAATGACGAAACGAAACCAAGAAAAAAGAGAAAACATGATGGATCGTTCAATGTTTGCTTCAACATAGGAACTTTGGGATTCTTGAGAATTCGAGACGATCTTTGAGTTCCGAAAAATAGGAATAGAGAAGGAAATGGGTAGAATGTAGTTCAAGGGAGCTGGGGGAACTTTTAGAAGTATTCTATTAGATAAAAATTATCAATGCTGCAATAGCCGAACTGGATAGTTGTTTAGCAATGGCCAACTGGATAGTTAGTTAGTTCAAGTGAGCTGGGGGATCTTTTAGAAGTATTATCAATGCCAAAATTATCAATGCCACAATAGCCGACTGGATAAAAACCCTGGATTCTAGTCAGGAGGTCAAGGGTTCAATTCCGCCAGCTATTTCTTTCTTTGGTTCTTTTTTTGATATGGATCCATATGGATTTTTCTCTACATTTAGGAGTTGAGTTTAGAGGTTTATTTTAGAGGTTTAGGGAGCTTTTGTTCTTGTTGTTGTTGCTTATTGTTTGAGTTGAGTGCTGTGCATTGTTTGTACTATATTATTCATTATATTTTTAATAAGACTAAGAAAGGATGAGTCTAGATTGTTAGAAATGCCTAGATTGTTATTCAGAGCTTTCAAGATTGAGTTCGTTTATCTAATGCATCTAATTCCTAACATTCTTAACCTGATTTCGGTAACGAAACCGGTATAGTTCAATTGGTTTAATGGGTTCAATGGTTTCTAGACTTGTAAAATCCAATACAGTCAGTTCAACTAGTCGAAAGTCCAGTCTAATGGGTTTTATATGAATTCAGCTTAGTTTAATTCAAGATTTAACCTGAGAAGATAATTCTAGACTAAAACAGTTCAATTTCAGTTCAAAGGTGACTGAACTAGGCTGAGAAGATCAACCGAACTGAGCTGGACTGAGCTGGACTGAGCTGGACTGAGCTGGACTGAGCTGGACTGAGCTGGACTGAGCTGGACTGTCTAGTGGTTCTATTCAACACTACGACAGATTCTTCGAAATCAAATCATAGCTTAACTAGAGCAAGATTTCAATCTTTACTCACCCCATCAACCATCGCATTCACTCCGAGCAAAATCGGAAACCCGACACTAATCGAAACGCCCCAAACGATCGAAATCGTTACAATCGCTCGCCCATTCCGACTCCCGTATTGAGCATAAGAGATCGGATGCGATATCGCAATGTATCTAAAAATAATTCATTTTTATATACTTTGTCTTATTTTTCTTCGTTTTCTGAATTTTTAATTTAGTCACCTTGCAAAAGACTACTGTTTCTGACACTTGCATTTGGCATTTATGTGAAATGGCTGTAATTGACAGAAACTTTAACAACGTCAAGAACAGAAGTGAAAAAGTATTCCTAGAGAAAGTGAAATGTTCAGAGATTATTGCGAATGAAAAGTTGAATAAACTTGGTCTTTGGTTGTCTCAAAATCCAAGTCAAGCCTGGCTTTGCTCTGAGGTGGAAGAGAAGAACCTGGCTTGGCCTGGATTGGCCTGGATTGGCCTGGATTGGCCTGGATTGGCTTGGAATGACCTGGAGTGGTCTAGATTGGCCTGGAGTGGTCTAGATTGGCCTGGAGTGGCCTGGAGTGGTCTAGATTGGCCTGGAGTGGTCTAGATTGGCCTGGAGTGGTCTAGATTGACCTGGAGTGGCCTGGATTGGTCTGGATTGGCCTGGATTGGTCTGGATTGGCCTGGGTTGACCTGGAGTGGCCTGGAGTGGTCTAGATTGGCCTGGAGTGGTCTAGATTGGCCTGGAGTGGCCTAGATTGACCTGGAGTGGCCTGGATTGGTCTGGATTGGCCTGGGTTGACCTGGATTAGCTTGGAATGACCTGGAGTGGTCTAGATTGGCCTGGAGTGGCCTGGAGTGGTCTAGATTGGCCTGGATTGACCTGGATTGATCTGGATTTGCCTGGATTGGCTAATTCTAGGTTTTCAACAACTTTGTAACAACTTAACGAGTAAAGAATCAACTCACCGATCTAGCGAAATCGCCAAGAGATTTAAAATCGATGCAGTGGAACAGATGACATCAGCCGCCAAGTATACATTGCACACCACCTGACCAAGACCCCAATGGAATTGGTTTAGCTGAAATTTTGATGTAGTAAGCTAGATTTTCTTCTTTAGGAAGAGTTAGATCGTTTTACATTCTGGAAATTTAAATCTCAAATTGATTTGAAGCTATTTCAATTAGCTGATTTGAAAATTTAGTCGTTGATTCATCGCATTGATTAGCTAAAGCTCATCGACTTGTTTTTATGAATTTCCTCATCATTTTCTTGTTTACTTTAGCGTTCTTTACTTCAAAACCTTCTTTACTTAGGGCTACTGGTTCTGATCCATTTTTAGTTTGTGGTATTTTGAGTCAAGCTTTCTCTAGCTCAAAAAATAAACCGCTCACCTCCACGTACACGCCAAACGACATCACGCACATCGCAACCTGGAAATTGAAGAAATTTTGAAGGGTTTTTTAAATAAATAATGAAATAAATGATCTGTGATTTCAAAAAACTTTTTGGGATTGTTTTCTTTTCAGTTTAGAGCTGGATTAGTTTCTGGACAAGGCTTTAAACTAAAGCCTAAACTTTCCCAAGAACTAAACAAGAACAAGAACAACAAGAAGAAGGAAATAGCAATTCTTCTTATTTTAATATCTTCTTATTTTAAAAATAAGCTCTAAAGAAGATTTTTCAAAGCCGTGCTAGGCAAGGTAATTCCAGAAGCCAGGCCTGCTTAGGTTTAACTTGGCTTTTAGCTCTGTCTGGTCAAGCTCTCTCCTGGTTCAATCTTTCCTGGTTCAATCGGTTGTAGCTCACTTCAAATTTTAGTACATTAAGGCAAGTCTAAGCTGTGTTTGAAATTTCAGCAAATTTGGTTGAGTATTGAATGTTTTGGAACCTTTAAAGTGGCAATCTAGTGCTCTAGCTCTAGCTGAGATTAGCTTGAACCTAAGACAACGAATTCTAGACAAATTTTGTAAACAAGTTATCATTTAAGAAAACCCCCAGCTCCACCAATACTCCACAAATTCGTTCTCCAAAATCCCTATGTTTATCTCATCATTTCAATCGCTCGTTCCCCCTTTCATTTCCCTCCAATCGCCACTGGGATATCGGTGCATGCGATTTATGAATCATTGATGAAATCGCGGAGAAAAGGAGAAAAAACTCATGCACTTCCTCAAATAAAGCCTTTCTATAAGATTAGCTTTCACAGAAATCAGAATATTTTCTTCTCAATGAGAAATTGATGATGGAATTCTTGAAAACTTTGAGTTTCAAGGTCTAGAATTTGAAAAAAAAGGGTGGAAGAGGTTGCAAGAGTACTCAAGAGTTGTAAATAATTTTCTGATCTTAATGTTTAGCCAGACAAAAGGCAAATTCTTGAAATTTGAGCAAGTACAATCTTTACTCTTGTATTGACTTAGCCCAGTACTAGATCTAGTAGCCCTTTTGGTTCTTCAATCAAGGCTTTTAGACTAAATCCAAGCTATAAACAGGCCTTAAACAGGTTTAGAAGCATCGAAATACTCTACAAATTTGACCCTTTACAAATTAATAGATCATTTACTTAAACAAATTCTCAATTTCCGGTCGAATTTGTTAGCTGGCCATCCCAAGGAAAACTCCAAGATCTATGCATTCATCAGCATCTCCCCTTCAGTCCCAGCTCTTTTTGTGAACGTGTTTCTCTTCTTTTCAAAGCTAAAAACCTTAAACAAGTCTCCAAGGATTTTGTGGTGAAAAAAAGGTGGATTGGGAATAAAGTAGCCCAGTGAAAAAGCATAAAATTAGCTTTCAGTTCCCAATAGGGAACTGAAAGCTAATTTTGTGACCGCTTGGTCTCTTTTGGGCTTTTATGAGTCTAATTTGAAAGATCTTTAAAATATGGAGGTGGATTCGGGCTTTGAACAGGATTAAAATAGGATTTGATTGTTCTTAAAGTTGCACTGTTTTTACTAGAAGTTTTCCAGAGTTTAGAAAAGCCTAAGCTAAACCTAAGCCTAAGCCTAAGCCTAAGCCTAAGCCTAAGCCTAAGCCTAAGCCTGAGCCTGAGCCTGAGCCTGAGCTAAGCCTAAGCTAAGCCTAAGCTAAGCCTAAGCTAAGCCTAAGCTAAGCCTAAGCTAAGCCTAAGCTAAGCCTAAGCTAAGCCTAAGCTAAGCCTAAGCTAAGCCTAAGCCATTGAATCAATTCTAAAGCCTAGGAGAAATGCTTGTGAATCTGAATCTAAATCTAAAGCTAAATCTAAATCTAAATCAACTTTAAATCAACTTTAAATCAACTTTTAAACAATGCTAACCTATAGTTAACTCTATTTTCTTCAATCATCTCTCAGATTTTTTTGAATCATTAAAGGAATCTTCTCAAAACTGAACTGATTCAAAGTCATGTCACAAAAACCCCGAATAAGGAAGCACTTCTTCGACACTTCATCGAACTTTGGAAGCCCTCCAAAAAACGGAAACTCTTGTCTTTGATATTTAGAAAAAGAGGAAAAGCGTTCATTTCTTTTGAGTCAATAGAATGAACGCCAAAAGTGACAGCTCTCTTTCAGCTTTTTCTATTCTCAAATCCCTAAAGGCTTAGCATATTGCGCAAATTTTTTAGGCTAGAGAAAGAAAAATTATACATAAAGATTAGGAAATGATTTGTGAGCATGTTTGGGCTTTTGAAATGTTGATATCAATGTTGAGATATAGGTAAAATCGTTTTTTCCAAGTAGTTTTTGAAATTTAGAACAAGATGACTGTTTGGGTGTAATTGAATGCAAATTTTTGGCTTAAAATGGTTGTAATTAAGTCGGGAAAGCTTGTCAAATTTGGGGAATTAGATCCTGATTTTGAATAATAGTTCATAGTCTTCAAAGTTCATAATCAAAGCTCATAATCAAAGCTCATAAACACTCACCAAAAAGTCTGATACTGCCAACGAGACGATCAAGAGATTCGTGACAGTGTGTAGTGATCTTTCTCGATAAACGGCCAATACAACAAGAGCGTTTCCAAAAATAGCCAACAAAGGAACGAGTGGGAGAAGAGCGGAGCCGGGTGAAGTCCACGACATCCTCTTTGATCCCACTGAATTGATCGAAAATAATAGAGATCAGTGGGGATGCGGGTGAGAACTGAAAATTTGAATTGAAATTGAAATTGTACTAAAAAAGTTTAATACTTTAAAAAAGAATAGAAAAACGTTTGAAAACAAATTCAATAATCAAGAAAAAGAAGAGAAAACGTTTAAAATCCAAATTCAATAACAAAATTGGGTAAAATCGATAACTTAAAGTTAGCTAGCTGGCTGAAATTAGCGATAATTAGCTGATAATTGTGAACCAGAACCAGAATCAGAACCAGAATCCAAATCCAATAAGTAAGTTGGGTAAAATCAATAATTTAAAGTTAAAACCAGCTGGAAATTGATGAAAATTGTGAACCGGAACCAGAATCAAAATCTAATAAGCAAATTGAGCAAAATCTTGATAATTTAAAGTTAAACCTAGCTCAGAATTGATCAAAATAGTAAACCAGAACCAGAATCAAAATCTAATAAGCAAATTGAACAAAATTTTGATAATTTAACGTTAAAACCAGCTGAAAATTGTGAACCAGAACCAGAATCCAAATCCAATAACTAAGTTGGGTAAAATCGATAACTTAAAAAAGCTAGCTAGCTGAAACTAGCGATAATTAGCTGAAAATTGTGAACCAAAACCAGAATCCAAATCCAATAAGCAAATTGGGCAAAATTTTGATAATTTAAAGTTAAAACAAGCTCAGAATTGATCAAAATAGTAAACCAGAACGATTGAAACGTGAATGAAACTCTTCTGAAAGCAATAATCTCAAAACTCATTCAAAAACCAATCAATTTCTCAAAGCTTTTACCAAAATTACCTTAATTCATTCAAAAGTTCCGAATTTATAAAAAATTTCTCTTTTAGGGAAGTCTTTCGATAATTGAGCGTAAAAATTTGATTTCTAGGTGTTTTCTCGATAAATGTGATTAAGATTTTCTCAATGAAAACCTTCAAAAAGTGTCATAACTAGAGTGTGTCCCTTTCGAATGTCCCTTTCGAATAACGCGCTTTCGAAAATGCATCTATTTGAGAAAACCACCGTAGAAAACCAGTCAAACTGCCAATCAGATCAGATCAATTTAAAGATCAGCTCAATTTTGTTATCATTTGATGAGGCTCAGCTCAGCGAGGCTCAGCCCTTACAAGGCTCAGCGAATGATTTAAAAATTGAATTGATCTGATGAAAGCCAACGTAACTCTTTCCCAAAGTCATTTTAGAAAAAGCATTAGTCGAGAGTCGACACTCTAGTCATAATGATATTGAAAAGACTTTAGAGAAAAAAATATTACCATTTCTAAAACTCTCGAGTAATAAATAAGAGAATTTTGTAAACGTTTCGCTTTTGGTAAACGAAATTGAACCTTTTAAAGCTTACTATTAGCTTATTATGGACTCGTTTGGCTTAATAAACATACCGTATATACTGTTATAGTACCCCACACCCTGGCCTCATCAGACTCTGGTCCGACCTAGCCCAAGTCTGGAGGCCATTGTCTGGTCTAGATCAGGCTGACCTAGTTCTGGTTTGGCTCAAGTTTGGCCTGACTGAATGGCTTAGAATTAAAGTAGAATTTGGCACTTTTTACTTACCGTAAATACTGTAATAGTACCCCACCCCCCTCGTAAAGTCGCGTAGTCGTAAAAGTTTTTTAGTCTTTCATTTTTTTCAAAGCGCCCGTACTTTCAAAAATGCGTCTTTGGTATCAAAAAATAGCCCTGAATTCCAGCTATTTTTTGATACCTAAGCGCGCATTGTAGCATAAACCAGTGTCGAGAAAAACTCGTTCAAAGCTAGACTACGCAACACTCCGCACCGTCATTATGGGGCTGGGGTACCACAGTATTTAGGGTAGTTAATGAGCCGGAAGCCGTACGTTTGCCAAATTTAGAGTAAAATTTCCGAATCTGGTCGATTGTTTGGATAAAATTGAGCCAGAAGCTGTTCATTTACAGAAAATCTCTAAAGTGTCAATTTCTGTACACTTTTACGTTGTTTTACTAAAATTTTTGTAACTAATTTGTTATGATGGCCTCAAAAAATTGAAAAACTACAACTCGTGAACGATTTTTTGGCTGGATTATCATTTTTCTGCCATTTTCTTTCATTTTTTTCCATTTTCCAGATTTCATTCGGGATTTTTGTCTGGATTAATCCTGTTGATAAACAAAAATATTACGTTTAAAGATTTTCTTTGAAAGAAATCACAAACTAATATAAAAGAAGTTCAAATTGAACAACTTTCTAGAGTTTTTCAAGCTTTCGAACACTTTTCGAAAGCTTTCGAACTTCAAAAATCACTAGGATTAGAGAAATGGCTAAAAGCAAAGGAATTTTAAGCAAAAAAAATCTATAAACAAGTGCAAAAGGAAAGAAAATTTGAAATTTTTGAAAATTTTTGGCTTTTGAGTTGAGGAAAATGAAATAAACGAATGAAAACAATAAAGTTATCAAAAAGTCAAGTCAAATTGCTTATTCAAAAGCTCGGTTTTGTGTTTTGAAAGCTATTGAATCCTGTTTTAAATCAAAATCCGATTCTAAAAGAGTGAACTTTGTTCGATTTTCGAATTCAGTTCAATTCAAAGAGTAAAACATGTAAAATCGTTTTTTTAATCGGATTCTAACAGAACTAAAGATCTACTTTTGCTTTACTTTTGACTTTAGCCTTAACCTTTTGGGCTTTAAAACCGATCTCAACTTTTGAGCTGACACTTTTGAGCACCAAAATTTCATTTCTCACAATTGCATAGTTAAACTAGACATTACTGAAGATTAGTAAATTTGTTTATAAAAAGATATGGCTCAGAAGTTCATAATCAAAATCTAAATATAGATTATAAACTTATAAATGTAATCTAAAGGCTTATAAACAATAGGAGAGCTATTGTCAGCTGTCTACTGTCAGCTGGTAGGTAGGTAAAGAGTCTAGGTAAAGAGCTGAGACTTTGGCCTGCTCCAGGTCTACCTATCTAGCTAACTTGGTCTTTCTCGACTCACCGTTCAACTTTTTTTTAATTTTATGATCAAACAACTATAAAAGACTCTATTTTTAATAATAGTTACTAGTAATAGTAATAGTAATATCTAATTTTCTCTAATATTAGTGCACCTCAAGGCTCGCCTAAATACCTCAAAATCTCGAGAGCCGCTTATCAAAACCTATCGATGTGAGATCGGAAAATGTAGCTGACGATGAGATCTAGTGAGGGATTTGAGCGTTGAGCTTCTGCAAAAGCTTGGTAACCGTAAAATAGCCACCAACTCGGCTCGCCGCGGTGCACTACTATTAGAGAAAATACTTAGAAAGGACTTAGAAAAATTTCCAAGTCAATGCGCTGTTCCCAATGTTGTGGAGAGGGATGGTTGGTTGCTTTAATTGTGAGATGCAAGAAGGAATGTAAGCTACTGCTTTAGCTGTTAAAAGGCTTCAGCTTAGGTATCATAAAACCTAAACCTAATAGCAAAACTAGGCTACTTTTTGAAAAACTTGCGCTGAAAGAAGGCTTCAACTCTTGTGCTTTAGAAGTAAGTCTAGTTGTTAGTTAAATAAACTGGTTTAGTTCAGAAAACTTCAGTCCAGTTGCAGTTAAATAATCCAATCCAGTTCAGAAAACTGGAAGAAAAACTTCAGTCTAGTTGTCAGTTAAATAAGCTATTAAATCAGCTATAAGCTATGCAAAAAAATCATGGATTAACTACTTGATTCAGGACTTAAAACTCCCAACTCTAAAGAGATCCAGGACCTAGATGGTTTAATGATCCAGGACCTAGATCAAGTCTTAAAGATCCAGGATCTAGATCAAGGTTTAAAGAACCAGGACCTAAGTCAAGTTTTGAAGATCAAAACTCAATGAGCTCATGCATTAACCAATTAGTTTATAGGCTAACGATCTAATTAATCTCGAGAAAACCCAGGAAAAATGGATTTTTCTGAAAAAACAGAAAATTATTAGCTGGCTGGAGGCTGAAGAATCAAAAAGCTTGTGAAAAAGTTCAATTTTCAAATGAACATATTAAAGCCAAGCCTCAAAACACAGAGCTTTTTGCTATTCTCTGAAGATTGAAAGAGTTGGGGTGGAGGGGAAAAGACAGGCCTCCCATCTCTTTTTCAGCCTTTCCCTTGTCCAATGTTTTGTTCTTCTTTACCCTTTTCTTTTTTTCCATTCCTGCCATTGCCTCTCCCTTGGGCCATTCCTTCTCATAAATCTTCCCCCTTGCCTCATCTCATGGCCACTTACGTTCCAAAGTCTCTCTATTGATGTCAATCCCGGGAAATTTGTCAGATCTTATTGCTGGCTTTGCTTGAGGTGTGAAAGAGATTTTGAAGAGAAAGAGAAAATGTTGTTGAAATGAAAACTGAAAACGGAAAACTTTGATGTCATTGGGAAAGGAAAGGATCGGCTTGGTTGTTTCGAAAGCTTTGGAAGGATCAGCTAAAGATCTAGAGCAGCTAAAGATCTAGAGCAGCTAAAGATCTGAAGCAGCTAAAGATCTGGAGCAGTTAGAGATCTGAAGCAGCTAAAGATCTGGAGCAGTTAGAGATCTGGATCAGCTAAAGATCTGAAGCAGCTAAAGATCTAGAGCAGCTAAAGATCTAGAGCAGCTAAAGATCTAGAGCAGCTAAAGATCTAGAGCAGCTAAAGATCTGGAGCAGCTAAAGATCTGGTTTTGGCTAGTCAGAGAATGAAAAGCCAGGCCAAGCCTTATTAAAACATAACATGGTATAGCTAATTTTAAATCCAAAAATCCATTAAACGAAAGATAATCAATCAATCAATCAGCTATAGCAGTTTTGTTTCAAAAAACCTAGCCAAGCCAGCTAAGATCTGGTTTTGACTGGTTAGAAAAATAAAAAGCCATTTTAGGTCAAGCCAGCTAAGCCAAAATCCATAGAGTTTAATGATTGTGGTCAAAATTTACAATATTAAAGCACAGTAATGTAAAAGGGCAGTTTTTTACTTGCAAAAGTGTCTCATTGCAATTTGACA